AGGTAATTTTTTTTCTATTTAGGTTTCTTTCATTTTTCATATTTGAATAAGTTATTTGTAGATTTATTTCTTATTGTTATTTCATTCACACACACTCACAAAAAATAGAGAGAGAGAGCTTTACCGCCAATCTATGATACTCTTTCTCTTTATCTCTTCTCTCTCTTTCTTTCTTTCTTCCTTCTTCTCTCTTCTCTCTCTCCTCTCTCTCTCTCTCCTCTCTCTCCTCTCTCTCTCTTCCCTCTTCCTCTCCTTCCCTCTCCCTCTCCCTCCCCCTCCCTCCTCCCCTCTCCCCCCTCCTCCCCCTCTCCCTCCCTCTCCCTCCCTCTCCCTCCCTCTCCCTCCCTCTCCCTCCCTCTCCCTCCCTCCCTCCCTCTCCCTCCTCTCCTCCCTCCCCCCTCTCCCTCGCATCGCCTATGGCACCGACCCGCGCCCGCACGCCTACACGCCCGCACACCCTCCCGCCCGCCCGCACGCCCATCACCATACACGCCATCGCCGGATCCACAAAACGGGAGGAGTGTTAACAGCGGCTCCGGATATCGTCCTGTTAAACCGGCCCAAGGCATAAAAACAATCGAATTACCACAAGGCTGTAAAAACAAACTGATGATGTCGCTACTGTTGGAGTGTTGGGGGAGGGGAGGGGGGTGGGGGGGGGGGAGGAGGGGTGTTGGGAGGGGAGGGGGGAGGGAATGGATGTTGGGGTGGAGGGGAGGGATGGAGGGATGGAGGTGTGGAGTGGAGGGGAAGTGTAGGGGGATGAAGTGGGTTTTTGGAGATGGAGGGATGAGGTGGTGGTGGAGGGGAAGGGGTTGTGGGGCAGAGGGTGATGGGGAGAGGGGAAGGGGTGTTGGGGGAGAGGGACAGGACTTTTAAGAGAGAGGGAGAAGTAGGGAAGTGGAAATTAGGGACTTTTAAGAAGGAGAGGGAAAGAAGGGGTAGTTGGGGTCTCTGAAAGGGAGGGCTAAAGAAGGACTGGGGAGGAGAGGAGAAGAGGGGGAGGGGGGTAGACAGAGGGAGAGGAAAGAGGGATTTTCCTCCCTTGTTCCCGCTAACCAACATTTACACTTCCTGTTCCTCATCAACATCCACTCAGAAGAGAGAGAGAAGAGAGAGAGAGAGAGAGAGAGAGAGAAGAGAGAGAGAGAGAGAGAGAGAGAGAGAGAGAGAGAGAGAGAGTGGTGTGTGTGTGTGTGTGTGTGTGTGTGTGTGTGTGTGTGTGTGTGTGTGTGTGGTGTGTGTGTGTGTGTGTGTGTGTGTGTGTGTGTGTGTGTGTGTGTGTGTGTGTGTGTGCGTGCGCGCGCTGCGTGCATGTGCGTGCGCATACGACGTGTACCAAGACCTCCATCAACCCAATCAACCCCGGGTATACCAACGCGTGCCAAATCACTCACGAATATCTGTCTCTCCCTCTTTTACCCCCCCCCAAAACCCTTTACCCCCTCCCCACTCACCCCCTTTCACCCTCCTACACCCAAGTACCAAGTACCAGGTATCATCTACCAGCACCAGCTACGGGTATCGGGTATCGGGTACTCGGAGCAACGCGACATTAGCATCAGCCGGGATCGGGTCCCAGTTACCGGAACCGCGTCGGGCCGGCCAACCACGCGCCGCGGACCGACACTAAATTCTTTAACTCTGACAAAGGTTCTCCGGGGCCGGCGAGGGAATAGAAATTCCATCGGCGAAAAATGCGCCATTGAGCGGAATTTGACTCGGCCGCTATGCCCAGTTTTTTTTTTTTTTTTTTTTTTTTTTTTTGGGAAGGGGGTAAAGGGGGGGGGCGTTTGTTTTGCGATATTTTTTTTTTGAGTTTTTTTTTTTTCGGTTCGTTTTTTATTTGTCTGTTTTCTATTCGCGGTCGTGGGGCTAACAAAGGTTTTCGCGTGCGGAGTGGATCTGGGACGACCTTGGCACGCGGGAGGGCTAAGTGCACATACAAACAGGTGAATACACGCACACTGGCACGCATTGCAGATGCAAACACACACACAACCACACACACACACGCGCACATCACAACACACACAAACAACACACACACAACTGCACCACACACGCACACACACACGAAAACCAAACAAAAAAGACAAACAATGCAAACAAACAACCTCACAAACAAACAAACAACCCCCATAAAAAACAATCTCTCACAAACAAACAACAACCAAACAACTCAAACCCTCCCTCCCCCTCTCCCTCTCGGAAAACAAACAAACAATCCCTCCCCAAAAAAAAGAAACAACTCACAAACACACAACCAAACATTCCTCCCCCCCCAAAAAAAAAGAAAAAAACCGCACACTCCTTCACACCGACACTTCCGCTCACCTCACCTCTCTCCGCCCTCGGCAAACTCTCAAAATCCCCCCCCCCCCCTCCAACGCATTCTCGCCTCACTCGCTCGCGCAATTACTCTTTCTTCGGCGCATGAAGCTGGTCGAACTAATAAACAGGCGTCGCGAACACAAGCAAACAAGCATAGTGCATGATATTATGGACCACAAGCGGAAATAAGTGCCAAGGGCTAATACGGCGCGGGGTCCGGGTTGGCAACACTGACTGACCTCTGGCTGGGCTAATAGGGAGGAGGGTCCGAGTGGGCACACTGACCTCTGGCTTCGCCTTTTCCTTCTTCTCTCCTTCTTTTCGCTCTCTCTCTCTCTTCTCTCTCTACTTTTGCGGCTTGGTTATCTGGTAGTTTTTCTTTTTTCTTACTGCGTGATGTCTTTACCATCACGCTGGTGTATTTTTCTTTTTTTTTCGTTCGCTTCTAAATTTTTTATCTATTTTGTTCCCTCTTGATTTTCATATCTCCATCCTCTCATTTCTATTTGTTTCTTTCTAATTCCTCCATTCAGAAAGCAACCAAAACGCTATCAACACCACCTAAAACCACAGGACACATCATCCACCACCACCAAAAACACCACCGCAAACACCAAAGACCACCACCTCCAGGAACACCAGAAACGAGCGCACCCCAAGAAAACGACCACCTTTAGCCAAACACGCCAGAAGCACCTCACACCTACCTGAGAAAAAACGCACACGCACACCCCCAAAACCCACACCGAAACAAAAACACACCCACGCAACACCACAAAACCAAACACCCACCACCACACCAAACCATGGGCAGACTCAAATAAACAAATACACCCTACACAAAACCAACACCCCACCAAAACACCACACACCACCATCAACAACACACAACAGTACCACACCAACACACCACGAAAACGCACAACCGCAATTGCAAAACAAATACCACTGACGCAAAGCCACCGAACCATAAAACACACAGACGCACCCACACAACAACACAACAAAACTTTCCCCACACAAGACGAATCGAGGAAATTAGGTGAAAAAACCCGAGGATCGCCGAGGCAGTCCTTCAAGTCTATAATTAAGTGGTTAAATTGTCGCATGAGAACAAGGATCAATGAGAGGAGACGCTAAATGCTCGAGAGGGAGGGAGGGAAGGGAGGGCGGAGGGAGGCGAGGGGGAGAAGGGAAGGCCGAGAGGGAGAGAAGGAGGAGAGAGAGAGAGAGAGAGAGAGAGAGAGAGAGAGAGAGAAGAGAGAGAGAGAGAGAGAGAGAGAGAGAGAGAGAGAGAGACGAGAGAGAGAGATAGAGAGAGAGAGAGACAGAGGAGACAGAGAAAGAGAGAGCAGAGAGAGGAAAGAGAGAGAGAGCAAGCAGAGAGACAGAGAAAGAGAGAGAAAAAGAGAAAGGAGCAGAGAGAGAGAAAAAGAGAAAGATGAGAGAGGAAGGGGGAGAGGGAGGAAAGGAATGGGGGTAGGAGAAGAGGGGAAGGAAGGGAAGGGGGGAGAGAGAGGGAGATAGGGTGGAAGGGAAGAAGGGAGAAGAATAGGGAGGGAGGGAAGAGGGAGAGCGAGGGAGGGAGTCAGAGAGAAAAAAAAAGAGAAAAGAAAAGACAAAAGACAAAACACAAAAAAAAACAAGAAAGAACAAATAAAAACCAAGGAAAAACAAAAAGTCACAAATAAAGATAACGTAAAAAAAAAAACACCAATTAAGGAGACAAATAAAAAAAACAAACACAAAACGACGAAACAATCCAGAGTGGCACTTTCGGCTGCTCCATAACACGACATTAAGAGTGAAACCTGACTAATTAATGTCGTTTTCTTCTTGTGGTGTTTTTGTTCGTTATATTCATTCTTTTTTTTTTTTTTTTTTTTTGAGGGGTGGGTTGGGGTCCCCCTTCCTTTCTTTTTTTCTCTCTTTCTCTTTCTCTCTCTTACTCTTACTCTTTCTCTTTCTCTTCTCTCTTCTTTCTTCTCTCTCTCTATCTCTCTCTCCTCTCTTTCTATGTTCTAACTATCTGTCTATCTGTCTATCTATCTTATATATTCTCGTTATTTTTTCCTTCGCACACCAAATGCACACACACACACACACACACACACACACACACACACCACAACACACACACACACACACACACACACACACACACACACACACACACACACACACACACACACACACATTCGAGACATCTTCCAATTCAAAAATCGCTCATTAAATACAATAAGGACAACAACAAGATCACGGACATATAATTAGCGCAATCACGCTAAAAGGGCGCTATCCACGGCTGGCGTAGCAGAAAGGGCGTACACACTGTGGTAAAATGTGTGTGGGGTGGGTGAAGGAGTGTGGTATGGTGGGTGGTTTGGAGTGTGGTGGGTGGGTGGCTGATGTGTGGTTGAAGTGTGGTAGGTGGGTGGTTGGAGTGTGGTGGGTGGGTGGCTGATGTGTGGTTGAAGCGTGGTAGGTGGGTGGTTGTGGATGTGGCGGTAGGTGGGTGGTTGGAGTGTGGTGGGTGGGTGGAAGGAGTGTGGTAGGTGGGTAGCTGATGTGTGGGAAGTGGTGTAGTGGGTGGTTTGGGGTGTGGTTGATGTGCGATTGAAGTTGTTGGAATGTTGAAGTGTGTAGGTGGGTGGTAGTTGGGTGGCTCAAGTGTGATAGTTGGGTGGTTGGAGTGGTAGCTGGGTGGGTGGAGTGTGGTGGTGGTGTTCGTAGGAGTGTGGTAGTTGGTGGTTGATGTGGTAGATGTTGACAGAAAATAGAAAAGTGATAGAATTGTGACATGCGAGTGGCAGAAGCGTTAAGGTATGTGTGGTATGAGGGCGGTAGGTTTTATGGTGCTAGTTTGGTAGGAATATGATAGGATTGTGGTAAGAGTGTGGTAGGAATTGTGGTAGGGAAATGGTAGGAATGTGGCTGAAGTATGGTAGGAACGTAGTTGTAGGCTAATAAAACTACGGCATATACATGACCCACAAGAAATGACAGGAGTTAGACGAACACACATCTAACAGACATAACCACCCCGCCGCCGCTAAAACCAAAACTAACCCAGCACTGTGATTAGACAATCGCTTACTGTGGTAGAATTGCGGTAAAAAAAAGGAAAAAAAAAAACAGTCCCCCTTCTCCTCCACCCCTAACTTCCCACCACCTCCCGCACCATCTCCCCTTCTCCCCACCACCTCCTCACTATCTCCCCACCACCTCCCATCCCCCTTTCCCCACACCTCCTATTATCTCCGCACCACCACCCTCTTCCCCCCTCCACCTCCTCCCCCACCTCCCTCCCCCTTGACAAAGTGAGCCGCTGCCCCCCTTTTAACCCCCCCCCCACCAAAGAGCAAGGTAATGGCAGAAGTCAATTTGCTCAGAACGGCGACATACAAGCTAGTAAATTAGAAAACACTTATCCATTTTTTTTACGTTTATTCCCTTTCTCTTTTATTTCCATTTTCTCTTTTATTCATTTTCTCTTTTCTTCCCTTTTCTCTCCCTTTCTTTTTTCATCTCTCTTTCTCTTTTCTCTCCTTTTCATCTTTCTTTCCTTTTCTCTCCTTCTCTTCCTTTTCATCTTCTTTCTTTCCCTTTTCTCTTTTCTTCTTTGTCTTCTTCTCTCTTCTTTCTTTCTCCATATGTCTCCTTCTCCCCCTTTCCCCTCTTTCTTCTTTCACCTATTCCTCTCTTTATTTCTTCCCCTTCTTCTCTACTTTTTTCTCTTCTCTCCTTCCCTTTTCTTCTGTTCCCTTCTCCTTTCTCGCTTGAGGAAAGAGGAAAAAAGTAGAATAGAAAGGAGAAGAAATAAAGAGGAGAGAAAAGTGAAATAGGAAGAGGGTGAAAGGGGGGGGGAGAGAAACGGAAAGAACAAGAGAAATGGATAAGGAGAAGAGCAAGACGAAGGGAGAGAAAAGAAAGAGACAGAAGAAAGAAAGAGAAGATGAGCGAGAGAATAAAAGTTATCTTGATATCACTCACCCCCTCCCGCCCCCCCCTCTCCCGATGTTTCCTAACTCCCCCCTTCTTTTAATTCCCTTTACCTGTCTCCCTATACCCTTTCCTCGCCCTTCTTTCCCAAGTTCTCCCTCCTTCACTCCATTTTCCCCTTCCTCTCCTCCCATCTCCCATCCGTTCCTCTCCTCCTTCTTCCCCATTCCCCTTCCCTATCCCTCCCTTCCCCCCTCCTTCCTCCCATTCTCCCTTCCCCTTCATCCCGCCATTCTCTCCTTCCCATTCCCATTCTCCTTCCTCCCCCTCCTTTCCCCCCTCCTTCCTCCCCTCCCGTCCCTTCCCCCTCCTTCCTCCCCTCCCCTTTCCCCCTCCCTCCCTCTCTGTCCCCTTGGCGTCAGCACCAGGAGCAAACACGAGGCGCATTTTGTTATGAAATATTTAACCCTAAACTCTGCGCGGCCGCCCGTAACCGCTTCACGCACCCACGCCCACACACATAAACAACGCATGGCAAACAAAAACATGCACGCAAATACTGACCCAAACAAACAGATATATATTTGTTACAGACTCTCAGCGGAGGCAGGCACGCTTACGTAAACACATACACAAACGCGCACGTAGAAAAAACACACACGTAGATACGCACACACACACACACACACACACACACACACACACACACACACACACACACACACACACACACACACACACACACACACACACACACACACACACACAATCGCACAAAAACAAGTGGTGCAAAAGTGACCCACAAAATCTCAACATTCCGAACCGAAAAGTGTCATAACACTATGTCTTCCCTCTCCCTCCCTCCTCCCTCCTCCTCCCTCCCTAGTACTCCCTCCTCTACCCCCTCCCTCCCTCCCTTTCCCTACCCTCCCTCTCGCGACCCCCCTCCCTCCCCTCCCTCCCTCAACCCCCTTTTTCTCACCCCGCTTACCCCATCCTGCGCCCCCCCCGCCCCACCCCCTCGGCCTCACCTCTTTCTCTCCACACCTGAGGGAGAACCGGGAGGGGCTGGGAATAGAGGAAGACGAGGTTAAAGAGAGAAAAAGGGAGGGAAGGATAAACGAAAAGAAAGAAGGAGAAAGGAGAATAAGTAACGGGAATAGAGGCAGACGGGGAGGAGAGACAGGAAGGAGAGGAGGATAAAAGAAAAGAAAGAGAAGGGAGAAAGAGCGAGGAGAGGAGAGAAGGGAAGGAGAGACACAGAATGAGAGAAAGAGGAAAATAAGGAATAAAGAACAAAAGGGAAAAGAAATCGGAGAGCTAAAGGGCGAAAGAAAGAAAGAGAAAAAAGTAAAAAGTGAAAGAAAATCATAACAAAACATCAAATAAAAACAGATTAGAAAAACGAAATGAAGAGCAAGAAAAAACAGTGGATAAAGGGGAAAGAAACGAGACCCTGAGAGGATGAGGGGAGAGGGGGAGAAAGGAAAAGGAGAAGGAAAGGGAGAGACGGAGGGAAGTGAAGAGAACAGAGAGTAGGAAAGTGAAAGAGAATGAGTGGGGAGAGGGAGGGAGGGAGGGGAAGGAGAGAGGGAGAGAAGGGCAGGTGAAGTGAAGAGGGAGGGGAGAGAGAGAGCTAGGGCAGGACAGGAGGGAGAGAGAAGGAGAGAGGAGGAAGGACGGGGGAGGGAGGGAGAAAGAGAGAGAAGGGCAGGTGAAGTAAAGAGGGAGAGACAGGGGAGGAGAGACAGAGAAGGAGCAAGGGCAGGGAGGAGGGAGGGAGGGGAGAAGGGGATGGTGGGTGCGAAATTAGGGTTTTGCGTGTGTGTCGGGTGTTGGCTGAGACACAAGCCACTGCTGGCTGCTATCTCGTCTCGGGGAGGGGATAGGAAGGGAGAGGATAAAAAAAGGTGGGAGTGGAGGAGAGAGGAGAGAGAGGGAGTGGAGGAGAGAGGAGAGAGAGAGAGAGAGAGAGGGAAGGAATGGAAGAAAAAAGGGGAGGATGGAGTAAGGAAGAGGGAATGAGAGAGTGAAAGAGGACTGAGAGAAGGAGATAGAGAGAGAGAAACAATACCAAAGCCAAGAAACAAAATAGACAAAAAGGTTAAGAGCGAAAGACAAAGTAAAGGCCAAAGAAGCAAAAGAGGTAAGAAAGAAAAGCAGAAAGGCTATAATAATAAAACAGAGTAAGGCAAGAAACATCAGGTAAGAAAGGAGAGAGAGAGAGAGAGAGAGAGAGAGAGAGAGAGAGAGAGAGAGAGAGAGAGAGAGAGAGAGAGAGAGAGAGAGAGAGAGAGAGAGAGAGAAGAGAGAGAGAGAGACAGACAGACAGACAGACAGACAGACAGACAGACAGACAGACAGACAGAGACAGAGACAGACGCAGACAGACACAGACACAGACGCAGACGCAGACACAGACACAGACGGGCGACAACACAGACACAGACACAGACACAGACACAGAGACAGCGAGACAGAGACTGAGAAACTGAGAACAGAGACAGAGACCGAGAAACAGAGACCGAGACAGAGAGATACAGAGACAGAACCAGAGAGAGACACCGAGAGAGAGAGAGAGAGCGAGCGAGGCCGTCCCTGCGCAAGGGGGTGTGGTGCGAGGTAACATACCAACCAACACAATACCTCTGGCCCCGCCTAATGGAGATCGCGGGGCCTCTTGCGTTTTGATGTGTTGTGCTATAGCGTGTGCGGCTCGAGTCCAGGGGTGTGGGTTGCCCGCCGCTGCCCGCCTTCGGTTCCCTTCGCCTGGGTTCTTGTAATTCATCCAGGGGGAGGGAGCTGGTGGGAGGAGCCTGGGCTGAAGTCGGGGCTGGGGGTTGGTGGAGGGCGTGGGCTGAATTCGGGGCTGGAGGGGGGTCTGAATTCGGGCTGGGGGTGGGAGGGCGTGGGCTGAATTTCGGGGCTGAGGGGCTGGGGGTGAATTCGGGGCTGGGGTTGGTGAAGGTGGGAGGGGCGGGGGTGGGAGGGCGTCTCTGATTCGGGGACTGGGGTGGGGAGGGGCGTCGTCTGAATTCCCGGGTTGGGGGGGAGGGGAGGGGAGGATAAGGAAATCTGGGTGCGAGTGGGAAACACAGGGGTAGGTCGGGAAGGAGGTTCACTTGGCACGTCTGTTTTGTCTTGTTTTGTTTGTCTGTGTGCTTGTTTGGCTTCTTGGCTGGGCTTCCGCTTGCTTGCGTGTTGTCTTTCACGCCTGCTTGCTTGTACGTTGTCTGTTTGTTTGTCTGTGTATTTTTGTTGTCTGTCTGTCTCGTCTGTTTGCTTAATTGTTTATTTGTTTGTCTTTAGATTTGCTATTTTCCTTGTCTTACTGATTTTGAGTTTCCCATCTATCTATCTTTTGTGTAATCTAGCTCATACCCTCTTCTCCTCTCCTCTTCTCTTGTCTCCTGTCCTCTCCTCTCCTCTCTCTCCTCTCCTCTCCTCTCCTCTCCTCTCTCCTCTCCTCTCCTCTCCTCTCCTCTCCTCTCCTCTCCTCTCCTCTCCTCTCTCTCTCTCTCTCTCTCGTCTCTCTCTCTCTCTCTCTCTCGTCTCTCTTCTCTCTCTCTCTCTCTCTCTCTCTCTCTCCTCTCTCTTTCTCTCTTTCTCTCTTTCTTTTCTCTTTCTCTCTTTCTCTCTTTCTCTTTCCTCCCTCTCTTATCTCTCCTATCCTCCTCCCTCCCTCCCTCCCTCCCCCTCCTCCCTTCCCTCCCCCCTCCCTCCCTCCCTCCCTCCCTCCCTCCCTTCCACACACAAACACACACACACACACACAAGATATACGCACACAGACGCACACACACACAAACGTTAACACCGCAGGGACACAGCTATTACCTTGTAATGACGACTCGCTTCTACACGAATTGACTTAACGACACAAACCGAATTGTCTTTATTGGTGTCTTAAATATACCTTCTTCTTCTTCTTCTTCTTCTTCTTCTTATCTTTGTTATTTTTTTCTTTCTCGACATATACCTAAATTCATGACGTATTTGTTCCACCAGGACGAGGACGAGGACGAAACGTCAGAAGCGAGGAAATAAAACCAAGTTCGCATAGTGTTCCCTAAAATCAACTCCGTTTTCTCTGAAGACCCGAGCAGTGGACGGCGAGGGGAGAGGGAAGCTGTCGCGAAAAGGAAGGAAAAGGGGTTTTAAAAAATTATCCAAGGGAAAGGGGGGGAGGAAAAGATAAGAAAGGGAAGAGGGAGAGGGGGTAATAAAAATGAGAGTGGGAGTGGGAGGATGAGAGATCGGGGAGAAAGGGGAGGAGGGAGAGATAGAAGAGGCGGTCCTGCGAAGAGGGAAGTGAGGGAAGACACTCGCTGGGAGTCATATTTGCCGTGGATATTCCCCGTGACGGCAGAGGCGCAGAGGCCACGTTGTGTTTTGTCTCCAAACGCCCCTTTCATTGTCCATTCCACCCTCCCCTCCCCCTCCTCCTCCCTCTCCCCCTCGACCCCTTCTCTCCTCTCAACCTCCACCCTCTTCGTCATCCTCCTACCCTCCTCCCCCATCCTCTCCTCTCCTTACCCTCCTCCCTCCCACCCCTCCTCCCTCACCACCCTCCCCCTTCCCTTCCTCTCCCCCTCTACCCCCCTTCCTCCTCACCACCCATCCCCTCACCACCCTCCTCCCTCCCACCCATCCCCTTCCCTCCCCATCCTCCCATCCTCCCCTTCCCCCACCCCAGCCACCCACGCCCACCCATCTATCACCCGTGGCCTCTTATCTACTTTCCTTCATCTGGCATAAAACACCCGAAGCAATATTATTCATCTTGCAATCACGGCGCCCCTCAACCCGCCATTCAACTCTGGGTGATGGAATGATCGTCATAAACAGATCAATTCCTCTTTGCTTTTGCTGTTTTTTTTTCTCTATCTCTTTCTACTTCTCTTTCTTCTACTTATTCTTCTTTTTCTTCTTTCTTTTTTTTTTAGAATGACCCTTTTGAATATTTTTCTTTTATCGTTTTATTCCCTTTCTACTCTTGACCCTTCCCTCCTATTCTCTCCCCTCTCTTTCTTCCTCCTGCCTCCTCTCCCTTCGTTCTCTCTCTTACCCTCCTTCTTCAATTTATTTATTCACTTTCCCTCCTCTCTCACCCCACTCTTTTTTTTTCTTTCTTTTCTTTCTTATATTCTCTTTTTTCTTCTTATTGTTCTTCCCGTTTCCTCTTTCTCCCCTGTCCATTTTTCTCCACACTTCCCCACCTCTATGTCGCCCTGTGTCCTTCCTTTCTTCCTTTTCTTTTTATTCCTACTCTACCATCCACCCTCTTATCCTCCCCCTTTCCCCCTTCCCCCCTCCCTTCTCTGCACCTCCCCCTCCCCCTTCCCTGCACCTCCCTCCCCCCCCACCCACCCACCCCACACGACCTCGCTTGTCAATGGTCACAATGCAAAAAGCAACCCGCTCTTATTGCACAACCTGCACTTATCATTGCACTGTGGTATGAACACACGATTTTGACTGGCTGCCTCTCCCCCACCTTTACCCCTCACCCCTTTCCCCACTCCCTCCGCCCTTCCTCCTCCTCTCCTCCTCCCCCAACACCCCTCCAACCCAACCCCCTTCCCCCCTTCCTCCTCCTCCTCCTCCAACACCCCCTAACCCCCTTCCCTCCCTCCCTTCCCTCCTTCCTCCTCCTCCTCCTCTCCTCCTCCCCCAACACCCCTCCTAACCCCCTTCCCCCCTTCCCCCACCCATGCTCTCCCCGCACGCACGCAACTCTCAAACAACCTTCAATTTATTACCATTTTCTCCCGTCCGCACATTCTAGACTGGAAAATGAACGGCAGATCCTTTCCTTTCATTCTAGCGTGGCGAGAGGGAGAGAGGAGAGAGGGAGAGAGAGGGGGAGGAGAGGAGAGAGGAGGGAGAGAGAGGGAGAGAGAGAGAGGGAGAGGGAGAGAGAGGAGAGAGAGGGAGAGAAGATAGACAGACAGACAGAGACAGATAGATAGACAGAAGAAAGGAGAGACAAAGAGAAACGAGAGAGAGAGAGAGAGAGAGAGAGAGAGAGAGAGAGAGAGAGAGAGAGACGAGAGAGAGAGAGAGAGAGGAGAGAGAGAGAGAGAGAAGAGAGAGAAGAGAGAGAGAGACGGACAGATATAGAGAAGAGAAAGGGAGAGACAAAGAGAGAACGAAAGAGAGAGAGAAAGGGGAGGGTGGGAGACGAACCAGGTCTAAATAGAGAAGGAGTGACTAAGACAGAGTCCGCCCTCCCTCGCTCCCTCCCTCCCCCAACCCCCTCCCACCCTCCCCCTACACTCCAGTCCACCTGCCACGACTCGCCACGACCTGCCACGACTCGCCACGACCTGTCATGAGTTCCCACGACCTGCCACGACCCCTCCTCGATTGCAATCAAGCACACGTACACATAACGACACACGCGCACATACCAAGCAGAGGTAACTCACACAGGACGCGGAACCAAGCGTCAATGAGCGAAAATGCAAGAGAGTGAGCGCAGGTGTATGCAAATGAGGAGAATGCATAAGGGTGAAAAGGGAATGCAGTTTGGGGGGAAAAAAGTGATATATGAATGGACAAAAGAGTATGGACTCTCCGCGTGACAGTTTAGTGAAAGAGTGAAAGTTGATAAGGAACGAAATATGTGCACTGGGCGTTGCTGTTGTTCATCGTGTTGTTATTGTTATTATTTGTTATTATAGTTATTATCCTTAATGCTTTATACAATGATCTTGTTATTGTCCTTAATTTGTTATTTCGCAGCTAGTTTTTGCAATTAAGTAAAGAAAGAAAAAAGGAAAAAAATATGAACGTTAAACACCCTCCTAAAAGAAAAACCCAACAGCATATCATAAGACAGAGGAACCGAGAACGAAAGAATCAAAATACGTGAACAGAAAAAGAACCCAAGAACGTGACGAAAGGAGAGAACGAAAGAAGTATAGAACCAAGGCATGGAATAAAAAAAATTGAATGTCCGGAAGCGAAAGGGTACAAGAAGGGTGAATGAAGTGTGACGAAGTGAGAACAGACGTAAATCAGACGCAATGCCAGGTGAGCTTACAAGGAAAGGGGGGGGGAAGGGAGGAAGGGGGGGAGGGGGTGTTAAGGGGAGAGGGAAGGGGTATTAACGGGGGTGGAAGGGTTTACCTCGGAGGAACGGAAGGAGGGAGAGACGGAGGGAAGGAAGAGAGGAGACGGAGGGAAGGAAGGGGAGAGGAAGGAGGGACGGAGGGGGGAGGATGAGGGTCCACCACGGAAGGAAGAAACTAGAGAGGGAGAGAGGAGGGGGGAAGGGTATACCACGGAAGGAAGGACGAAGAGGGGAGGGATTGGAGGGAGGGGAGGGAGGAGCGACTTATCAATATTTATGAGTGCTTTTATGTAAGAAATAAGCGCCATATGTGCCCATGTATCACCGGAACACGACGTATTCCCTCCGTGATTTTTCAGGTAATCAATTCCCACAATAACATCGATACAGGCGGTAATAATTCCAGTCGGTGTGCTGAAGGCGCTAGAAATTATGTATAAAGGGGGAAGGGGTAGGAATGGGGAAGGAGGGAGGTGGAGGGAGAAAGAGAAAGAGAGGGCGAGAGGGGAGAGGCAGAGGGAGTGGGAGGAGGGGAGGAGGGAGGAGGGGATGAGAGGGAGACGGAGAAGAGAGGGGGGGAAGGGGAGAGAGAGTTAGAGAGAGAGAGAGAGATAGAGAGAGAGATAGAGAGAGAGAGAGAGAGAGAGAGAGAGAGAGAGAGAGAGAGAGAGAGAGAGAGAGAGAGAGAGAGAGAGAGAGAGAGAGAGAGAGAGAGAAGAGAAGAGAAAGAAGAAAGAGAAGAAGAGAAAGAAAGAGAGATATGGTAGAATGGGATGAAGGGAGGGAAAGAAGAAGAAACGGAGAGAGTATTACATTGAATATTATTATCCTCTTATTCGGACACATGACGAAGAAAAATAAAAAAGAAAGAAAAGAAAAACATTACCACACACCTACGGCATGTTTACAGCCGAACAAGGGACAAGGAAATGTACACCTCGCACCTTGCAACAATGTACAACATACAATTTATCGATGGACAAAGTACAATGTACGAGACATAATTCACAAATGTATTCCTTACAATTTGCCAAATTAGAACTTACGATGTCTATGTGGATACCACTATTTTAAGATCCGTTCATGGAAATAAAATGGAATTAATGATAATTATCATCATTATCTTCATTATTATCATTATCAATAACAATAACAAGTACAATAATAATAATGATAATAATAATAATAATAATAATAATAAAGTGATATTTAAGCATCTTACCTTTTTTGTCCAGTCATTACATATTCAGAAGAGTTACATACTAATCATCAGAATTTCCGTCACGTGACCATCAGGAAAAAAACAAGTCCAAACAACAACAAACAACAACAACAACAACAACAACAACAGACGCAGAGAAAAAAACACACACACACGATACCAGATTTCCAAAAGAGAACCGCATGCTTGGAGGGAAGAGGTTCATCGGCGACAGAACCGGAAATAAATAAGGGTTCAAGGGGGTTCGGAACCGATAGCAAAAGGGGTTTAAAAAAAAAACTTGCAGTGAATTTTTGGATCCTGTGCTTACCTGTGACCATGGACGCTGAAATAAAAGCAAAAATGGAAATTATTAAAAAACAAATAAACAAACAAATAATTGCTTAAGTAAATTATAAAATTAAACTAAATTATAATAAACAAATAATAATAATAATGTTGCAGTCTTTTGTTCCGTTTTTTTTTCTCGCTGGGTTTAAACTTTAAACTTAATTGTTGCATGCCATATATCATGGTGCATTAATCATAAAAATATGCAAATCACTACTTGCAAAAAAACAAAACACAACATTAATTGTATTAATAAGAATGATGATAATTACAATAGAAGAAGTAGCAATAGCAATAAGAGCAATAATAGTAAAAATATTAATAATAATAGTAACCATAATAATAGAATGGTTAGACAATAATAGCACTAATATTGATGATGGTAATGCAATGAATGGTATTAATAATAGATTGATATGTAATAATTAATAATTAATAATCAATAATAGTAAAAATATAAATAATAATACATAATAATGAATAATATATCATAATAAATAATAATAATAATGATCTAATAATAAATGAGATTTATTAACTCAGTGAATAATAATGATTAGCTAATTGGAAAATTAAATCAATAATGTAATATAATACTACTCACTCAATCATAATAAATTAATAATAATAATAATAATGACAATCAATAATAAATAATAATAATGATGATAATCTAAAACGACTAATACTAGCTCAATAATAATATTTCTACTAATAATAATATATTCATAAATAATAATAATTACATGATAATCATAATTTGACTGATGGATGAGAGTAATAGATGATGCTTCCAACTGATAAGCAGAACTCCAATTAGTGCATCCAGTTCCTCAAATTAACTTCCATGTTAAGCGTGCAAGTATGTAATAATAATAATAATAATTGTAATAAGTATATAATAAATAATAATATAATAATGAAATACAACGAACAAATACGAGTCAATAAATATATAAATTATTCCTCAGTATCACCATCATCGAAGACACATCCAAGGCATCAGAACTTGAAAAAATAACGAAATCGTTTTAAAAAGCAACATACTTGAAATATGGCAACCACAGCCAATAATGAAAATAAGTATTACTAACATGCACAGCGGGACTCAATGTAAACTTACCGTCATTGGTGAATTTGGTATAAGAATACGTACCAAAAAGGAGACTTTAATAAAATAAATAATAATAAAAACATGCACGCCAAACATACGAAAGAAAGGGGAAAATATAATCGGTAATATCCCACATAATGCTGTTTTTTTATCATGAGGATACAATCGGTAATATCCCACATAGTGTTGTTTTTATAATGAGGTTGCTATGTTGCCACAGCGACGGTTGCGATATTCTTGCTATGCTGACGACGGTTACTGTAAATATTCCTGTGTGCTATGCTGGACACGGATTTGTAATATTCTTGCTTATGCTGACACCGTGTTGTAATATTCTTGCTATGCTGACACGGTTGTGATATTCTTGCTATGCTGACACTTTTGCGTCTGGATATTTCGGTTAACTATGGCTGACACGGTGTGTGAATAATTCTTTGCATATGCTGACACTCGTTGTGGATATTCTTCTATGCTGACACGCTGTGATATTCTTGCTATGTTGACACGGCTGTCATATTTCTTTGCTATGCTATAGTTATTTTTTTTTTTTTTTTTTTTTACTATGCTGAAAGAGCAGTGGTATTCTTACACAAATGAATTTAGGTATGAGGTATGAGGTATGAGGTTGCCGTTTTCCAACATGACGCTCGCTATGATGGAACCCCCACATGATAGCTTCCCTAATGCGAGCCACCAAGAGCTACCTATCTATTCTGCTATCTCCTGACTGTAACACGGGTACTCTCTCTCCTCTCTCTTTCTCTCATCTCTCTCTCTCTCTCTCTCTCTCTCTCTCTCTCTCTCTCTCTCTCTCTCTCTCTCTCTCTTTCTCTCTCTCTCTCTTCTCTCTTTCTCTCTCTCTCTTTCTCTCTCTCTTTCTCTCTCTCTTTCTCCCTCTCTTTCTCTCTCTCTTTCTCTCTTTCTCTCTCTCTCGGTCTGTATGTCTGGGTGTTCTACAAACATACGCGTACACATACACATACATACAAACACATCCATACACGCACACACACGCACACACACACACACACACACACACACACACACACACACACACACACAACACACACACACACACACACACACACACACACACACACACACACACACACACACACACACACACACACACACACACACACAGCACACACACACACACACACACCACACACCACACACACACACACACACACACACACACACACACACACACACACACACACACACATATATATATTATATATATGATATATAGATATATATTATATAGAGAGAGAGAGAGGAGAGAGAGAGAGAGAGAAGAGAGAGAGAGAGAGGAGAAGAGAGAGAGCGAGAGAGAGAGGAGAGAGATAAAGACATATACATACATATACCTACACCTATACACACATATACACACTGGAGCGTGGGCCGGGGAGGAGCGCGGGCGGGGGCGAGGGGGAGGCAGGGCGCCGAGGGTGAAGTGAGGGCGCCAGCGAGCTTTAGGGCGTGCGTGAGGGTGTATCCTAGCTACGGAAGGCCTGGCCAAGGGTCACTAAGTGGTGGTAATCAGCCCCGCATACTCTCCCTTGGGGCGGAGCTACACGGCTAATACGCTTTTAATTATGAATTTTAATGTTGATAACGAAGAATCCCCATCCCTATCATCTCCGCCCTATCCCCCCTTCCCCCATTCTCTTCCTCCCTCCCCCCCCTCTCTTAAAACCTAACGCATCCTTCCCTATCTCTTATTTTCCCCTTCTTCTCTAATTTCGTGATCTCTCCTCTATTTATCTACCCCGTATTAGGGACTTCACCGGATGTACTTAATCTCCCTATGACGTCCACGCGCCCCGAGACAGCAAATGGATAGACCTACATACCCAGTGTCCTTCGTGAGGCTTGGCCAGGGGGTGACAGGGGAGGGAGAGGGAGGGAGAGGGGGAGGGAGGGTCTGATTCCAGCAAATGATAATCGCCAGGTACGCTATAGCGAGGGGGTGTGAAGCCTCCCCTCCCTCCCCTCCTCCTCCTCCTCTTCCTCCCCTTCCCCCTACGCACCCTCCTTCGTTAATCTCATTCACCACCAATCATCCAGTTATGGTGTAATTAAGTGCGTTGAACGTTAACCTCTACCTGTAGGCCGTATACTGCAAAAGTCTGCGGTGATAGCTTGCCACATTTCACTTACATTCTGGCTGATCGCACTGTCATCGCATGTTTAAGTCAACTACTTAAAGCAGCAATCATAAAGACTTACACTATGTATATAGTTACCAAACAATCGCCAAATCACACATATATACAAGGACAAAAGGAAAAACTTATACATATGGCAAAACATAATCTCCAGAACACAAAAAAAATCCAAAATATGTATTGCGTCCCAGTGAAGTAATCAAAGAGGGTAGAAGGAGAAACAGAGAACCGAATAAGAACACTGAGAACACGACAAGGAGAGAGATTGTACATATAAAAAAAATACAAGGGGATCACAGAGCATCTCCTAGCCCCGGGGCAAATAATTACGGATATAGAAAACGTGTTACCGCCGAAAACGAAAGAGGGGGGACTCTATCATTCCGTCGCTTAATCTCATTTCGTTTTATGATAATAGCCGACGCTGTGTGGGTTTGATGAGAACTCCTCTCTCTGCTTGAGAGGATGACAAAAACTATTGTGTATTTTCATTAGCGACGCAAAGTCAGGGGAGGGAAGTTTGCATTATACACTTCAGGCCGTGTTCATATTAATAATCCAAGTCTGTGCCCAAGGGACCTCGCTTTGTCTGCCTGGTCCAGCTTCTCTGCCACTCACTCGCTCTGTCGGGGGAGACTCGCCACAACCACACACCACCTCACGCATACCACACCACCCACCACCGCCCCCCGTCCCTCACGTTGTACTCTCGCTTGTTTTCTCTGTCTGCCTGTTTGTCTGTCTCCTCCAAACCCCTTTCTCTCTCATTCTCTTTCCATTTGGATCTCTCACTCTCTCCTCCTATTCTATCCTCTCTATCTCTCTCTCTCTCTCTCTCTCTCTCTATCTCTCTCTCTCTTTTCTATCTCTATCTCTCTCTATCTCTCTCTCTCTCCTCTCCTCTCTAAAGGACGACTAACATCAGCCATACAGTGACACATTGTGATACCATTAATACCAGGAACAACCACATCTGCAGTTACGAAGTAAAAATATCTTTAAATGTCTCTCCTCTTTGTTTAATTAGCCAGAAATACATGGCTGATAAAACAATAATACTGATGGCGATGATATATATTTGAACAATATCTGTAACTCATGAATGATAGTGGTAGTGGTAGAGCTCGTAGTGGTGATGGTGGTGAAAGTGATGATGATGATGATGATGATGATGATGATGATGATGATGATGATGATGATGATGATGATGATGATGATATGATGATGATGATGATGAATGATAAATGACAATGACAATGACAATGACAATGACAATGACAATGACAATGACAATGACAATGACGATGACGATGACGATAACAACGACGACGACGATGAGGATGATAATGATGTTATCAGTATTAACAATGTCGATGATTATCAGCTGCCATCCCCATTAATAACCATAGCAACAATGACACTAATCTTGAAAAATACAATGAGGAAAAGTGAAAGTACTCACTATTTCCTCCTTACGACACGCCATGACAAGACAAAACACCATAATAAGCAAAATGACATGACATGACGATACGGTCCACTGACCCCCCATCCTCTCCCTCCTCATGACAGTTGTCGAACTCGTGTTATGAAAATGTGACCATCAGCTCCCTTTTTACCCCCCCTTCCCCTCCTCCTCCCTCCTCTCCCTTCCTCTCCCCCTCCCCCCTCCATCTTCTCTTCCTCTCTACCCTTCCTCTCTTCTTCCTCCCTCCTTCTCCTTCTCTCTCCCTTTCTTTACTTTCCCCCTCCTTCATCTCTTAAGGCACCCTTACCTCTCCCCTTCCTAGACCCCTTCGTACCTCCTCCTCTACCTCTTCCCCCTTTATCCCTGCCCCTTTCTAACCTCCTTCCTCATCCTTCCCCCCTACTTAACCCCCCTCTTTAGCCTAACCCTACCTAACCTTCCTTCTAGTTCATCCCCTACCCTAACCCTCCTCCAACCCCCTTCCTACTCACTCTTTATCTCCCCTTACCTAACTCCCCTTCTCACCCTCCCCAACCTCTCCCCTACCAACCCCCCTCCCTCTACCCTTGTCGTGACCGTCAAATTCATATTTTTGTCTGCTGTTATCCGCCGTCCCGAGTCCTCGTTATCAAATATGCAACCTCGTCTTCACAAACACCTGCATCTTATTATCCACATACGCCCCCTCACAACTCCACTAACCCCCTCTCTCCTACTTCCCCTTGCCCTGCTAACCTTCTCTCCTACTTCTTCCCCCTACCCTACCCTACCTTCCTTCCCTACTAACCCCCCTCTCTCTACCTTCCCCTTCCCCCTATAACCCCTCTTCCCCACCTTCCCTTTCCCCTACTAACACCCCTCCTCTCCTACCCTTCCCCTTTCCCCTACTAACACCCCCCCTCCCATCTCCTACTTTCCCCTCCTTGGCCCCATCCCTGCCAAGCCTTTGCTAAGACTCCTTAATCTTTGTATTTTATTATCATTATCATCACCGCTTCATTATCGATATCATGATCATCATCATCCTTGTCATTAGCGTTCGTTATAATCCCTGTTAAAAGTCATCATCATTTTCATCACCGTCATCGTAATTCTTCTCCCATTATCATTAATGTATTACTATTAACACAGTCATCGTAGTCGTCATCAGCTATTACTACTTACATCACTCTTACTAATGCCTCTTTTTTTCCTCCATCGGTCCTCCCTCCCCCTTTCCCTCTATTTCCTCTTCCCAAGTCACAAAAGAAAGAGGGAGAGGAAGGAAGTGAGAGGATGAAACAAAACGAAAGAGAGGAAGCGGAAAGAACGGGAGAGGAAAAGGGAAGCGGAAAGGGGAAAAAAAGAGGAAATGGGGCTACTTGTGGTAG